GAGTTGGAATTATTTGGTTGCCCAAGGAAGAGAGGAAGGGAGCACCAATGAGTTATTGTGGGATTATAGCAGTGGGGAAAAGCAGGGATACCTTCATCCGACTCCAGAAGGGATGGACTGTGCGGAGCAGTGATTCTCAGCCCTTTTGCTCATTCCAGTGCCTGGTACCTGACAAGAGCTTGGAATGTACCTGCGGACTAACTGCATCGTACAACATAACGGGGACGGATCATAACTATCAGTGAAGTGGAAATTATTACCCCCACTGTAGAGTTTAAGAAAACTAGGCGAAAGGTGACTCCACCCAGGTTTCCCGGAAGTCAGGGCGGAGCCAAAGCCCTGATATTTGCTCCCGCTACCCCCGCGCCCCTCCCTCCGCAACTCGTACCTAGCACCCCAAACTCGCCCCACACCCCCTACACTTCCGGATTCCGCTCCACCCACCCGCGAGTACTTCCGGTCTCCAGCGCTGGAAGCCGCGGCCGGGAGGTGTGGGAAGGTAAGTTCGCGCAGCTAGGGCCCGCGGANGCGTATGACTGGTTCTGCTGTGGTAACAACATGAACTAACACCTCAGACCTTCTCAGACACCTGAAACCTCAAATGGCTGCACGTCATTTATGATCGGCTTCCTCATCAAGCAGGATTTATTTATACCAAAGCTCCAGGTCAGAAAGTCCAAGACTAAGCACCACTCACTACTCTGATGACCCCCCTTGAGCTGGGGGGTGGGGTGTGTGTGTGTGTGGGGGGGGGTCAAGATTTCAGAGTTACAAGGACCAAGTGCTTTATCCATGATGAATTCCTGAGATTCAGCACTGTTAGTGGAGATGGATGCCACTATTGCCACCTTCCCCTGGTCGTTGACTAGCCAACATCACCCAGGGACAACTTCCTCTTTTGCTCTGACAGGGAACATTTAAATTAAAGCTTAACTTGAATGACTAAATTCAGTAAACTCTCCCCCAGCAGGATATGAGTAATACATCCCATCACCTTCTTTCCTTCAGCTTGCTTGAATGGGGAAAGCTTATATTGTACTTAAATGGCCTTTCAAGTTTCCTGTAGTCGTAAAATAGCATCTCAAAAAACAACACGTATGTAGCCTTAATAATATTAGAATATTATTTTTAATGTGCTTAGAAGTACTACAAATTTATTTGCATATATTCTCTTATCAATGGATATTTAGATTGCTTTACACTCAGGCAATTTTTAGGATGAATTCTCTTCATATCCATTGAAAGGGATCAGAGTATGCCATCCAAAATATGCCACTTTGGCATAAGGATTATTTTAAGATGAAGGCATTTGAGAAACAGCAGACACACAAAGGGCTCCCTACCCTCCTCCTTTCTATGTAAAAGCAGAACATAAATTTTCTGCAAGAAAGCTTCCCATCCCGGTACCAGAAGATGGAACTAACACCAAGATGAATCTGTACAAACAAATCTTACTACAGCAATACTTACCTTCCATTAGTTTTCCCCATATATTTACTTTCCCACAATTTATTGCCCGTAGAGGATCAAACCCCATTTTTCTTGTCCCAGCTCTATAATTCATTGCTCTTTGTTAAAAATGGTATATAAGTTCTCAGACCTAATGGTTTCATTGGGTTTTCACTTCATTTCTGTGAGCCCTCGCCTCCCTTATGCATATGAAATAAACCTTTTTCTCCCGTTAATCTGTCTGCTGTCAGTTTAATTTGTAGGACCTCACACACTGAACCTAAGATAGTAACGGAAAAAGTTTTGTCCTCCCCTACACCATCTTTGTCTACATATCCAATTATTTCCTTGGAATGAAATTGCATATCACATTTTGACATTGATATTTATTGCCAAAGTATACTTAAAAGGACTGTAGACATATTCATGCCCACTATCCAGGTATGTATAAGTATCTGATAAGCCCAATTGTTTTCTTAGACCAGGGGTTGGCAAACTTTTGAGATGGAAGAGCCACTAAGGGTCAGCAAACTGTGGCTCACTAACTGTGGCTCTGAAGTACAATCGAAAATGAAAATAAAACTATCATAGTTTCATTTATAGAAATTTTAAAGGATATTATTCACATGATTATGTAAAAATATATTTATGGCTCTCGAATAATTTTTAAATTGTGAGGGACAGGATTGGCTCTTCCAGGGGTTGGCAAACTTTTGAGACGGAACATACCTAAAGAGCCACATACGGCTCGCGAGCCACAGTTTGCCAACCTGTCTTAGACCTATATTCCACCACTTCATGAAGCCTTCTACTTCCACTCACCACCTTTTTTCCGTTTGTGAAATCCTTTCCACCTAGGGTCTGCAGCACTTCGTAGCTGAGCACTTCACTGTTCTCTTGTTAATTCATTAAAAAAAAGAAGAGGGCGCCCATATGGCTCAGTTGGTTAGAATGCACGCTCTGAGCAACAGGGTTGCTGGTTTAATTCCCACATGGGCGAGTGAACTGCACCCTCCGCAACTACATTGAGGCAACGACTTGAGCTCAACTGCAACTGAGCTGCTGGTGGGCGGCCAGATGGCTTAATTGGTTAGAGCATGTGCTCTTAACAAGGTTGCCGGCTCGACTCCCGCATGGGATGTTGGGCTACGCCCCCAGCAACTAGATTGAAAATGGTGACTGGACTTGGAGCTGAGCTGCGCCCTTCAAAACTAGATTGAAGGAACTAGATTGAAGAACAATTTAACTTGGAGCTGATGGGTCCTAGAGAAAAACACACTGTTCCCCAATAAAGTTAAAAAAAAAATTCCAGGGCTGGCCGAGTGGTGCGTTGGTTAAGATCTGGCTTGGGAACCAGCTCTGTGCAGCAGGGCCCCGGTTCGGATCCCACATGAGGGCTAGTGACTCTGCCCTCTACAGCTAAGATGGTGAACAACAGCTCAACCTGGAGCTGGGCTGCCATGATGGCGTAGGCCGCAGTGATGCTGGCTGGCAACTGGCNTGACCATGCTTGACATCTCTAGGGATCCATAAAACAGATTTGTCAGCCCTTTCTTGGCTCAGATTTCACAGCTCTTTTGTGTATGTGATTTGGTAGAAAACCATGCACAGTTGGGTGGTGGGCTTCTACACAAAGGGGTGTCTGCATCTGTATGCACAGCTGTGTTGTTTGTGCATGGGGACATGTGTGGGCATGTGTGTGTCCAGCTGAACCCACAACCAGTCACTGTGCCAGCCTCTGAGCTCTGCTCCACCCCATGATAGGGACACTCAGTTTGGTGTGGTTAGAAGTTGGGGGTATGGTGAAGTAAGTTGGGCCAGGAGGCCATAAAGGCTGCCAGAGGCTAGTTGGCAAAGGGCCTTGTGTGCCTGGCCAAGGGTGTTGGACTTCACATTGACAATGGTGATAATCTTCATGAGGATTTTGGCAAGGAATGATGCCGGGAGGCTATTTAGGACTTTGATGCTGAGGCTTTCCTTACTGCAAGGGTAGGGATGGGGCGTGCAAGGTAGTGGTGGAGGTCTCGCAGGTGGGAGAAGGGTGCATCTCCCAATTCGAGAACCCCCTCCCACCTCCCCTCTGCCTGCCCCTCTGTAGCTTATTCCCAGCAGGCTTCAGCCATCCCAGTCAACCCTTTAGATGCCCACTTTGGAAGCAAGGCTGGAAGTCCTGGCTCAAACTCCCCTGGGAGTAATGTAGCCCCTCTGTCCCTGGGAATGCTGTCCGGGTCCTAAGGATTTTGGGGGCACCAGAGAGGCTGGGCAGCTTATGGACAATTTGGTGAGCGTAGGTACCCTGCCCTCATCTAGGTGCTCACCAGGGTGGCAGTTAAAAGACCTGGAAGGAGCACTGGAGTGGGAGTTGGGTCCTTATCCTGGCCTTGCCACCTTCCTTTCTCCAGGTCTTAGTTTTCTCCTCTGTCTAATGGGGACATCCTTGTCCCACTCACCTGGAGAGGTGTCAGCAGCAGATAGATCTGGGTAAGAAAGCTCTGTGCAAATGGGGGGTTCAGGGAGGTATGGAAAGAAGGGAGACAGGGTGACCTCTTCCAAGGAGAAGCTCAGGGAGCTGTGAGCTCAGGGAAGCCTCCTCTGTATAGGCAGGGCCACAGTTAGAGCCAGCGATGCCTGGTGGTACTGACTGAGGCCAACCAAGTGACTACTGCCCTATGGTATTGAACTGACATTAATGGGGTGGTATTTGAGTCTTTAATGGCTGCTGGGGTGCACAGTGCCCTGGGAGGTCACATAGCCATTGGGGGGGGGGTGAGGGTTAGCTGGAGCTAGAATAAGTTGATGCAAACTGGGAGAGAACCCCCTCATGTCTCAGAAAAATAGGCAGGGCAGCCTTAGCCCTCTGGATCTGGGTCACGTGTGAGGGACATAATGGGGTCCAAACCAGCGTGGGGAGACCTGGCTTGACCCCAGACTGAGAATCCTTAGGGTGATGAGGGGATTTGGGGTATGCTAGGGGAGGACGGGTTGTGTAGGGGTTAAGGAACACTGACACGCTGAGTGGTGGGGAAGCCGATGGTTTAGGCAGGCCGCCACGTGAGAGGTAGAGCCATGCAGCTATCGTGAGCTGTGCTGAGGCTGGACGGGATGGCCTTTCTCCCTGAGACAGGGATGTCTGAGGGTCGGCCCCATCACTGGGTAGCCACTGCGACCAGTCCTGAGGCTTTGTTCTCCCACTTCCCGTGGCTCGGGCTGCCCTGTAGAGGCTGGATGGGGTGGCCCATCATCTCAGCCCTTGAGACTCAATGCCCACAGGTGATTCCACCTCCACCTGGGAGGGGTGGCTGCCTATTCAGATGAGGAGGTTCTGGCCAGAAAAGAGGGTGAGGGAGAGTTGAGCCCCAGAAACAACTGCCCCATGTACCTAGTCCTACGGGACAAATGCCCTTTGAAGCTCTACCTCATGAGATCACTACCCACCATGATCTTGTCCACTGCTGGCTTGCTGAGGGTTCATACAGCTATACGACCTAGCTCTGCCCTAGACAGATAGCCAGGGGCTGGCCCCCCAAGATGTACCCCATTGGGAAGTTCTNCGCTCCACCCACCCGCGAGTACTTCCGGTCTCCAGCGCTGGAAGCCGCGGCCGGGAGGTGTGGGAAGGTAAGTTCGCGCAGCTAGGGCCCGCGGAAGCAGTTTTTAGGCAGGGCCACAGCGGGTTCAGGCGGCAGCGGGCCCTTATTTCTCGGGTCACCACCGGGCATTACAGTGCTGCCATTTCCCTCGCAAAGACCTGCGTACCCGGCCGAAGATGACGTCACTTCCGTGCCCTGTGCGATCTGGCGAAGGCCGGAAATGGCTCCAGCCCCGCTTGGCGGCGGGGCGGAGTCACGGCAGGTTTCGGAATCCCCGAGTTTCGCGCCAGAGCGTCTGGGATTTTTAGGAGACGTGGTGTCCTGATTAAAATTGCTGGATTTAGGAAATAAAAATACAGGACGTCCAGTTAAATTTGAGTTTCAAATAAACAACAAGTAATATTTCAGTATAGGTATGTCCCAAATGTTCTATGGGACATACTTACATTAAAACGGTTCCTAATCACTATGTTGTACACCTGAAATTAATATAACATGTCAACTGTAACTTTAAAAAAAGAAGTAAATGTTTGTGTATAAGCAAAAAAAGACAATTTCCTGTGTAACTGAAATTCAAATTTAATTGGATGTCCTGTATTTTCTCCGTCAACCTTAGCCTTGCGCCCCCTTCTGTCCTGGGCTCTGGTATCCAGCATCAAGGCTGGGATTTTCTAGGCCTGTGTCCATCTGTGAAATAAGTACAAAGTTCACCCAGGCTGTCAAAATCAGCTATTGGTTGATGCTAAGATATTTTTAACGCCAAGCCTAGTGGGGGCCTGCCCCAGGAGCCCCCTGGCAAAAGCTGGCCCATTTTGAGTCCCCATGTCGATGCCCTCTGTGTTCCCTTTCACAACTGGGATCAAATAGGGTTGATCTCATGGGAAAGCTAGAAACCAGCAGGCTAAGTGGCTAAGGGCTAGAAGTTGGCAGGTTTTTTGAATGTGGGATAAATTGGTTTTCGGTGATAACAGTGGGATGCTTCGAATAGCCCAAGCAGGTCAAGGGGAGAGCATTAGTCATAATCTCATCTCACCTCTCATTGTGCAGATGACACCCAGTGAGAGCAATGGAGCTCTCCCAGCCATTCAGAAAAGTGGTAGAGCTGGAGCCTAACGGCCAGCTTACTTCGCCTGCTTTGTCCACACTTGCTGCTGCAGTCAACTGGCAGCGTTTTTGGTGGGCATGTATTGCAGGAGATGCCTTTTTAGAGATGAGCTCTTTGGCATTTTTGTCCCTAAACTGTACAGCCTCCTGACCTTCACCCCAAGGCTGCTTTAGCCTTTACCCTGCCCAGTGGGGAAAATGATTATTTGGGCTCACTGTGGGAGCCTGCCCTCTGCTTGCTCCAGCCACTAGGCTCTTACCCTGGTGAGTGGTGTGACTCAAGACTTGTTATGTCGGAGCCAAAAGGCATGTTCTTGGCAGGGCTGGGTCTGGTCAGCCATATAGGTAGAAGGGTGTCTTTTTCTGCCCTGCAGATTGGGTCCCATGGTACATGGCCTCATGGTGTCTAGGGACTTCGCCAGGGTTCCACCATGGGCCAGACTTTGCTGCCACTTCTGATTTGAACTTGAACTTCTTGTTGGACTGGTCCTAAGTGCTTGGATTCCTCAAGCTGTGGCCTTGAGGCTGTGCTCTGTGCTTGTCTGTCAGTGCGCCAGCAAACCTGCAGCCTCCCCACACAGACCTAGCCTTCCAGGCTCCCCAGCCCAGACCCATAAGCTAATGAAATAGAGCAGGCTGGAGGTCAACAGCCAGCAGCCTCCTGGCAACAGAAGTGGTGAAGAGGCAAGGAAGGAATGCCAGAGAGGGGAGCTCCCCCTGGGTGAGGGCTCAGAAGCGCAGGGGGTGGGGAAGGGGCGGGACGGGAGCCCACTGATAGGAACTGCTCTCTCTGTGAATGATTAACTCTCAGCCAAAGCGGGTGACCTAGGAGGAGGGCTCAGTTAATAGGACTTTTGGACTCCGGGCAGAGTGTCCAGAGGGCCGGCGTGTGGCCTGCAGAAGAGGACATGGCTTGGTGGCAGGCCTGGGCTCCAAGGACTGGAGTGAGATCAGGCAGCTGTGGGCTTCAGGAACTCTTCTGGGACTGGCAGATGGTCCATTCTTGCTGCAGCGGCTGTGGGGTCCACTGGCCCTGAGCCCTCAGGGGTGGCTGTGGGGCCTCGTGTCTCTAGCTTTACAAGGACCTCACTAGTGTTTTCTTCCCCCCTAGGCAGCCATGGGTGCCAGGTGGAGCTGAAACCAGTGGGGCATGGCTGCAGCCTTGCAGTTTCTGCCCAGCTTGGCCCGAGCCCCATTGCGCCCATTCCTCTGGAGGGGCCCAGGGGCACGGCTGGCCAGTGGCATGGCCCTGGCAGAACAAGCTCGGCAGCTGTTTGAGAGCACTGTGGGTGCCGTGCAGCCGGGCCCCATGATGCACCGGGCACTGTCCTTCGACCCCAGCAATGGGCAGCTGAAGGTGCGGGACCGGAGCTTTCAGCTGCGGCAAAACCTCTACCTTGTGGGCTTCGGCAAGGCTGTGCTGGGCATGGCAGCTGCAGCTGAGGAGCTACTGGGTCAGCATCTCGTGCAGGGCGTGATCAGCGTTCCCAAGGGGATCCGCGCTGCCATGGAGTGCACTGGCAAGCAGTAAGGAGGCTTGGGGAAACTGCTCCCCACTGTCCATCTGGAGGAGAACCTGGGCCCAGACTCAGACTGGATTGGGGCCTCCCTCCCTCACCGACTTCCTTTTTCTCCTGGGTCTGGTCTGGCTCCAGGATGGGTGTCAGTGGGTATCCTTGTTCATGCCCTCTTCACCTGTACAGCTGGGAAATCTGGTGGGAGGAGAGGAGCCCACCCCTTCTCTCCCTCTGTGTTCTCTGTCCCCTCAGGGAGATGCTGCTGAAGCCACACAGCCGTGTCCAGGTATTTGAGGGCGCAGAAGACAACCTGCCGGACCATGATGCGTTGCGGGCTGCGCTGGCCATCCGGCAGCTGGCTGAAGGTCTCACAGCCGATGACCTGCTGCTTGTGCTCATCTCAGGTATGGTGCCAGATTGGCTCAGGACAGTTGACAGAAGGGGGGTGGTTCCAAATATCAGGGTTGAGTCCCCAGGGTCACGAAGTAAAAAAGGCAGTGAGGAATCTGGATGGCTGACTCCTGGGTGATCCTTTGCCAGTTTTCTGGCCTCCCCTGAGCTGTGGGGTCCCCTTCTCGACTGACCTTGTTGGCTGACCATGAGAAGGCACACAGGGAACACCTAATTCAGGGTCTTACAAGGAAAATGTCACTGCTGCTGCTGCTGTCTGGACCAGTATCACCAGGGGCTAGAACCCATAGAGCCCTTTCCTTGGTCCTCCACTCTCCCCTCTGCTCTGCCTCCTATTCCAAGCTCTTAAGGAATAGTGCTTCCATTGCCTGCTGGGACCTGGGTTACCCCAATGCAGAGTACAACCTCAGGTGCCTAGGGTGCGGTGACTATGCACACATCCACTGCTTGTCCACACGGGGGCACCCTAACTCCACCTTTCAGCCCCTAATGTGTGCACTGCCCACCTGTGTCCCTGGGTGAGGAGGTGTCTGCTGTGCCCTCTGCCTGAAGTCCTCACTGTCTCTGCAGGCGGGGGCTCAGCCCTGCTGCCTGCCCCCATCCCACCCGTCACACTGGAGGAGAAGCAGACACTCACCAAACTGCTGGCGGCTCGAGGAGCAACCATCCAGGAGCTGAACACCATCCGAAAGGCCCTGTCCCAGCTCAAGGGTGGGGGGCTGGCTCAGGCCGCCTACCCTGCCCAGGTGCGTGAGCTGCTGCTTCCCCAGGCAGCCCTGGGCTGATGGAGCCAGGCCCACGTGTGCCAGGGAGATGAAAGCCTAAAGCAGCATACAGATTGGCAGGGGCCTGGTATGGGAGTCCACAGGGCCATCAAAGAGGGGCCTCAGAAAGGATTAGGGGAAATCCACATGGCCAGGAGTTTTGTGATCCCACTTTAAAGGAGTTAGAAATGGGCGAGGAAATGCACCGGGTGATGTAGGGTGTGTGGATACATTGGGAGGGTAGTTTGTCCTCATAGCTCTGGGCTGAGGACCAGGCAGGACTGAGCCTTGCCTCTGCAACCCCTCCCCAGGTGGTAAGCCTCATTCTATCAGACGTGGTGGGGGACCCTGTGGAAGTGATCGCCAGTGGCCCCACGGTGGCCAGCATCCACAACGTGCAAGATTGCCTGCACATCCTTAATCGCTATGGCCTTCGTGCTGCCCTGCCACGTTCTGTGAAGACTGTGCTGGCTCGGGCTGACTCAGACCCCCGTGGGCCACATACCTGTGGTCATGTTCTCAATGTGATCATTGGCTCCAATGCACTGGCACTGGCTGAGGCCCAGCGGCAGGCTGAGGCGCTGGGATACCGGGCCGTGGTGCTGAGCGCAGCCATGCAGGGCGATGTGAAAACTGTGGCCCACTTCTACGAGCTGCTGGCCCGAGTGGCTGCAGCCCGCCTCACCCTGCCTGGGGCTGGAGCCTCTGTGGAGGAGGATGAACAACTCCATGAGCTGGCGGCCAAGCTCCAGCTCCCAGACCTGCAGCTAAAGGAGGCTTTGGAGGCCGTCGAGGGGGCTAAGGGCCCCGTCTGCCTGCTGGCTGGTGGCGAGCCCACAGTGCAGCTACAGGGCTCCGGCAAAGGTGGCCGGAACCAGGAACTAGCCTTGCGTGTTGGAGCAGAGCTGGGACAACGGCCACTGGGACCTATTGACGTGTTGTTTCTGAGCGGTGGCACTGATGGGAAGGATGGGCCCACAGACGCAGCTGGAGCCTGGGTCATGCCTGAGCTTGCTAGCCAGGCTACTGCGGAGGGCCTAGATGTGGCCACCTTCCTAGCTCACAATGACTCGCATACCTTCTTCCGCCGCTTCCAGGGCGGGGCCCATCTGCTCTACACAGGCATGACGGGCACCAATGTCATGGATGCCCACCTCCTGTTCCTGCGGCCGTGGTGATGGCATAGGTCATGTTTTGGGAGCCCAGAGCAGGCCTACAGGGCAGGGTCCTAGGGCAGACCAGGGTTGGTACCCCGGGGCTTACTAGGCCTTAGCACCCCTCCTCTCCTTGGCCCTGGCTGCATGGTTGGCCCTCAGTGCCCCTCCCAACCCCCCCACTCAGGGCCTCTGCTCCGTGTATGTCCATTCCCCTAACCAGACAGGCAGATGAGGACTCTCTTCCACCCCTGCTTTCAGCCATGGCAGCAGGTACCCTGATGACCAGGAGAAGTCCCTTGGCCAGTTCACTGTCCCCGGTATTCCCCAGGTAGCCCCTCTGCTGAGCTCCTGAGCCTGTTTTTTCTGTAGAGTGAATCAAGAAGGGCTGAAAATAAAAAGGATCATGCTGTGGGGTCTTGATGCATCTTCCTTCAGAGCAGGGATTTGCAAGGAGTCGCTGGGGAGGGGAGTGGGGCTAGGCTGCAGCCATGGCACCAGGACCTGATATGAGTCTCCCACACCCTCTCTGCAAGGGCACACTTGGTACTTGTTTCACTTAAACAGGAGCCTTGGGGGGTCGAGCCTGGCTTCCAATATGCTCATTGTGGATCAGCAGAAACCCCAGGGACGACAGGCCTAGGGACTGCAGTCCGTGGGGTCTGGGAGGGACTGGCCACCCATCCAACTGTGACCCTCCCCAGTGGCATCCCTGCTGCGATCTTCAGCCTCGGTCATCTGCCTCGCTGGCACATGCATACTACCTGCCACCAGGGACATCCCTCCCTTGTGCTTTGGACAGCCCTTAGCCACAGACCACATCTTTGGTTGAACTCCCCTGTTTATGTATGGGCTATCCCGACCACAAAGGACCTTGTTTCTTTGTGCCAGCCCTTTTTCCCAGGCTGAACAACCCCGGTTCCTTCAGCCGCTCCTCTGGGGACATAGTCCCATTTCTGGTACCAGCCTTGCCATGGGGGGGTCTCCAGTGCTGGGATAGTGGGTCAGAGCAGTGATGGGGTCCAGCAGCCCCCTGCCCCTCCCCCTGTTACAGATGGTGGGGAAGAGGCCAATGGAAAGGAAAGAAACAGGAGGGCTCCTTTGGCCAGACCAGCAGCCTGTGCTGGGAGAGAGATAGGCCACTGTCCCAGCTCTCCCTGGGCCCCCTTGCTCAGTATCCAAACCCTCCGCTGGCCGCCCCCGCCGTGCGCCACGGCTCCAATCCCTATATGAGTGAGCAGTAGAATCACATAGGAATAAAAAGCCATAGAGAACAGCGAGGCCTGGGGCTGCTCCTGCTGGCTCCTCCGCCATCCCCTTTCTGAGGGTGTGAGAAGCCCTGGGCCAGGGCTGGCATGCCCTTCCCCTGAGAACAGCCTCCCTTCCCCACTTGGGATCTGGACAGCCCAGCTTGCAGATGGTTCATGAGCTGGGGACGTGACTCACACTGGGCAGGCTGGGATTGAGGGAGGTGAGCAAAGCACGCTGGGCTCTGGGGGCCAAGGAGGCTTAGGGAAGAGGGGAGTTTGCACCACTCTGATGCAGGGGCACCAGTTCCTTTTCTTCTGTCCTGGCATGGGTTTTCCGCTGGCCAGGGGGTCATACTCTTAGGGGATATTGTCCACACATGGCAGTGCCTGTGCACTGGTGCTCCTCTGGCAACCTCTAGATGTGTATGTCCTGTCCCAGCTTCAATCATTACTCTTGGGAGCTTGAGTATTAGCACTGGTGTCAAGTTCCAGGCAAGAGCAGGATAGGAGGGCTGCGGCGGTGGCAGAGGACCCATCTGCCATGTCCGTAGTGTGTGCATGCATGTGAGCTTACAGATACTGGAGTTGGCACACCGAGGGGGGGGGGACGCATCTTTGTGTGTACACATAGATACCCAGCAGAGGGGATGTAAAGCTGATTGTGCACATGGCTGCTTACACACTTGCTGAGGAGCTTGGGTTGGGGTGGGGTTTTGCTGGAGGACCCCTCTGTGCTACTTTGGCTCCTGCCCTGTATCCTAGTTATGGGAGTGGGGGTTCCAGGGGCCAGATTGGGCCTAACCCATTAGATTTGCTCAGTTGGTACCCTTGAGATGAGAGAGAATATATTTGACCACAAGCTAGATGAAAATATGAGATAAACTCTGCATGATGAGTGTTCAGTAGGACTTATTATTTGCTGCATAAATGTCAAGTATGGGTCATAATAATTGCTCCTATCTCAGGGCTCTTGGTTTCTGTCTCTCCTGGCTCAGATTCCTGCTGCCCTTGCGACCACTTCGTCTCCATCCTCTGAAGCTTTTCCTGGTCCAGCTGGAGGTTTTGATCTTGTCGTGTGCCTGTCACACCTGACTGCTGCTGCTCTCACAGGCCCTTCCATTCTCTGCACTTGGCATGAACTGAGAGCCCCTGGGCAGTGGGCCTGGACAGCCCTTAGGTGTCAGCTACCGCAAATCCCTTTGTTTTACAGCTGGAGAAACAGGAAGGGAAGGTAGCTTATCTGAGGCTGCACAGCAAGTCTGCCACAGAACCTGAATGAGAACCTGGTTGGGACTTACTTGACCATTCTCTGCCCACCCCCTAGGACTCAGAGACCCTCAGCCAGAGCCAGGGATCCACTCTTGCCTCCCTGCTGCCCTTCAAGGGTTTGGGGGGTGGTGACCTGACCATGCTTGACATCTCTAGGGATCCATAAAACAGATTTGTCAGCCCTTTCTTGGCTCAGATTTCACAGCTCTTTTGTGTATGTGATTTGGTAGAAAACCATGCACAGTTGGGTGGTGGGCTTCTACACAAAGGGGTGTCTGCATCTGTATGCACAGCTGTGTTGTTTGTGCATGGGGACATGTGTGGGCATGTGTGTGTCCAGCTGAACCCACAACCAGTCACTGTGCCAGCCTCTGAGCTCTGCTCCACCCCATGATAGGGACACTCAGTTTGGTGTGGTTAGAAGTTGGGGGTATGGTGAAGTAAGTTGGGCCAGGAGGCCATAAAGGCTGCCAGAGGCTAGTTGGCAAAGGGCCTTGTGTGCCTGGCCAAGGGGGTTGGACTTCACATTGACAATGGTGATAATCTTCATGAGGATTTTGGCAAGGAATGATGCCGGGAGGCTATTTAGGACTTTGATGCTGAGGCTTTCCTTACTGCAAGGGTAGGGATGGGGTGTGCAAAGCAGTGGTGGAGGTCTCGCAGGTGGGAGAAGGGTGCATCTCCCAATTCGAGAACCCCCTCCCACCTCCCCTCTGCCTGCCCCTCTGTAGCTTATTCCCAGCAGGCTTCAGCCAACCCAGTCAACCCTTTAGATGCCCACTTTGGAAGCAAGGCTGGAAGTCCTGGCTCAAACTCCCCTGGGAGTAATGTAGCCCCTCTGTCCCTGGGAATGCTGTCCGGGTCCTAAGGATTTGGGGGGCACCAGAGAGGCTGGGCAGCTTATGGACAATTTGGTGAGCGTAGGTATCCTGCCGTCATCTAGGTGCTCACCAGGGTGGCAGTTAAAAGACCTGGAAGGAGCACTGGAGTGGGAGTTGGGTCCTTATCCTGGCCTTGCCACCTTCCTTTCTCCAGGTCTTAGTTTTCTCCTCTGTCTAATGGGGACATCCTTGTCCCACTCACCTGGAGAGGTGTCAGCAGCAGATAGATCTGGGTAAGAAAGCTCTGTGCAAATGGGGGGTTCAGGGAGGTATGGAAAGAAGGGAGACAGGGTGACCTCTTCCAAGGAGAAGCTCAGGGAGCTGTGAGCTCAGG